GGTGTTTAATGGAGGCTTTAGTTTAAAATAGATAATACTATATAATAATATTAAAGAGTAAGTTTAAATAAGTTATTTGTTTTAGGTAGTAAAAAGGATCGCTCACTAAGCAAAGAACTTAGTGTAACACGATACTAGTATTTCTTAGTGGGTGCTAAACAGTCTTTTAATTAAAGATATTAATAGTTACTTTGCAACCATTCGCTTAATAAAATAAAATCATTTGTCTTACCTAGTTTGAAGAGTTTTTCAAACTGGGTAAGACACATCATTTTATTTTATTGAGCGGATGGTTGCAAAGTAACTATTAATATCTTTAATTAAAAGACTGTTTATCACCCACTAAGAAATACTAGTATCGTGTTACACTAAGTTCTTTAGTATAATGGATTCCCGCAAAGTAACGCCTGATTCTATTAATTAGCTATGTAATTATAGTTTATTTATCTTATTATGTTTAGTTTATCACGTAAACTCAAGTTACCCCGTGTAGTGAGTTAAAAAAAGCACGGCGCAAGAGAATTCACGAATCCATATAACCTCGTAGGTGTCGTAAGAGGCGACAGAGCGAAATTTCCACAGGAAAAAATACCAGCATTATCAAGGAATACCAGCGTAAAATAGCAGCTTAATACTGCTGTGTTTCGTGTGGTGAGTGGAGAGATCCGGAGATCCATTTATACTGGAAACGAGGCATTCCATCTTAGTCGTCAGGGGTGACAACGTATTTGCGTTATGATTCTTGATCGAGGATAAATGTAAATGTCTATGGGCCACAACATCCACTTATCATCAGGTGGACTGTGTGCTCGTTTGTCACCCTTATTTATAAAAAAATATCCTGATAATAACTCTAAATAATAAAAAAAGTCCAATGGCCTCGCCATCTAAGGGCCGATCCTCATTATAATGCCGTTCACAGTTCGTTCTCGGTTCGATCTCGGTCTGATAAATTATTGTCGAATAAAAAATATATGTGTACATTCATACTATCCGGTAACAATCAAGTTCCGGTCGAATCCCATTCAATTATAATAATTTAGACCGAGATGGATCCGAGAATGAAATGTGAACGACAAATGAGGATCGGCTCTAAATGTGGCAATTATGATAAATATCGCTTCAATAAGGTAATCTACAAGGCCTCTGTTCAGCTGAGGACTTTTGATAGGCTGTAATAAATAGATGAATCAAATCAACGATTTACCATATATTTTACGTGATAGAGCCATGCTGCAGTTATATTAGTAGTATAAATACATGGGTATAGCGTGAATAGGTCACCGGAAAGGACTACGCTCTCACAGAATGCCAGCGTAAAATAGTTACTTATTGCTGCTGTGTTTCCTATGGTGAGTGTAGAGAATCGGAGACCCTTTTTACTGGAAACGAGGCATTCTATCTCACTCCTCACGGGTAACAACGCTTCTGCATTTTGATTTTGAATCAAGGATAGATGTAGATACCTATTATGGACCACAGCAACCACTTACCTTCAGGTGGACTGTGTGCTCGTTTGTCACCTTATCGTATAAAACAAAAATAGTGATTTACGTAGTTCCATCTTAATTTTTAGATCTGTTGACGTATATTTTATTTATTTGGAGTTTAGTCCACAGAAGCCCGTTTTTCAATTCTATATTATTAAAAAGTTTTTATTTAACAACTACCAACAGAGTTACTCAAGGAGTAGTAAGGCATATTTTGAATATATAGCTAAATAATAGAATTCATACATTCGAAATTTATTTTTCATATTCTAGAAGCTTATACCATATCTATGGCAAAACCAGTAACCTCGCTCTATGAGATTAAGTCCGGTTAGGATTCCTCGGCTTTGGGCACTGCGTAAAGACATGAAACCTGACAAATGCTCACTAGTTTATTTCCCTATTTTCTATCCTTCACCTCGCGTTGTTGTAGCTAGGTGAAGGTTAAGTATTAAATAATTTATACTGCACGTGTATTTGTAGAATTTTTATTGTAGATAGGTTGAAGCAAGGTATTTGCAAAATTAAAGTTCTCAGCCTATTAAAAGTCAACTCCTCAATATAGGACTCCTCCGTCAGATGCTTCATAGACAGGGTGTTTGTCATAGTTATTCATGTTGGGCAAGCGGTTGGTAAGCGCATTTTTAAAAGTTGTTATTATGGAGACGCTACTGTCTATCTCCTGGTTTGTTTTCCCCTGTTTGCTTTTAACGACACCCTCGGAATTACAGGGTAGTGGATACTCTTACACCGCCACAACGCGATTTGTTTATAATAATGTGATTTAAAATACTGTTGTAATATAAAGTCATAAACATCTATATTATCCCACATTGGAAGTGTTAAAACGTGGTCAAAATTAAAGTTCAGACGTTTTAAAATATGATATTGTTACAGTTATAATTACATAATTGATAGAATCAGGCGTTACTTTGCGGAAATCGATTATAATAAATGATATTAATAGTTATTTTACAACCATCCGCTAAATAAAATAAAATGTGTCTTACCTAGTTTGAAGAGCACCTCCCCTAAGTGGGCACACCTATTACTTTGGTGTCTTTCCCAGAATAGTGGTGTTGGGAGTAGTGGTGTTGGGAGTAGTGGTGTTGGTAGTAGTGGTGCTGGGATTGGTGGTGACGGGATTAGTGCACGTAATTGAGGGAGGGCGGGAGGTGTTCTTCAAACTAGGTAAGACACATCTTTTTTATATAGGATGAGTTGACAAACAAGCAAACAGTCCACCTGATGGTAAGTGGTTGCTGTGGCCCATAGACGTCTACATCAATCCTCTATTACGTATCAAAATGCAGATGCGTTGTCACCCGTGAGGACTAAGATAGAATGCCTCGTTTCCAGTAAAAAGGGTTCTCTACATTCACCATACGAAACACAGCAGCATTAAGCTACTGTTTCACGCTGGTATTCTGTGAGAGCATGGTCCTTCCTCGGTCGAGCCGACCCATTCGTGCTACAACTATACTACTAATATAACCGCAGCATGGCTCTACCACGTATAATAAATTTAGCGGATGGTTGCAAAACAACTATTAATATCATTTGTTGCAATTACAGTCTATAAGAAGTGGAAATTGTGGAAATTTACCCCCTATGGTACACCATTTGGGGAATATTAGCTATAGGTACCACGCTTGGCATGTGGGTTGGCAAGCGTAGTTTTTTGTTATTGAGAAGACGTTTCTGCTCATCGCCTGGTTCCTTTCCTTCTGTCGCCTCTTACCGCCCACGGAACGGTATGTGGTAATGCATATTTTTACACCGCCACTACCACGGTTTAAATATAATGAAGTAATTCATCGTTGCTGTTAAATAAAGTTTTAAATTTCAATGTCATCATCCTACAATGTGTTAAAATGTGTTCCAAATAGATGTTATGTTCTAATGAGATCTTTTTGTTATAGGTTAACAGTTCTTGTCAGGCTCTCGTTTGTTTGATTTGTCATTTCTGATCATTAATAAAATACCTTTCTTTCCAGGCGAAGCACAGTTGCTCTTGTTAGACGGCGACTTCTTCTGGGTAGTCGCCATCTTCTCCTTTTCCGAAGACATGCTCACAGCACAAGCCGAAAACACCCGAACTTACGCGACGACGCCGCCTCTCATTACTGATTTTGGATTTCGAAAGGTATAAACGTTAATGATGCGCACGCGTCCACGCCCAAGGACCACATAAACTATTTTGATGGGTAATGAGCGATGAGTGATTCTCGATGACTAATTATGTTTGCAAATAGCTAACTGACACTTTATTTACTTTAGCTCATAAAAATCGTTCAAAAATCCGCCGTAGAACACGGATGTGCTAGGCAATTATTTGTTTGGAATAGATAATGTAATCCAGCCGTCCTACGGCATCACTGTACGGGTTTCCATTGTATTTGCTTATTGTTGACAATGTTGGGTCTCTTTTATGTGTTTTCTAATACGTGATGTATTAATTGATATTGATCACGTTGCACCGATGCCGTGCTAAACTCGTCCTTGTTTGTAAAATATAAAGACAATGGTAAATACATGCTGAACCCTTAACGTCGATTAGTTCTTAGAATTGCTTAATGAGTGTTAATTAGTATAATTACAAGTATAAAGCAGTCATATTTGCTCAAATATTTGCTTTAAAACATACAAATATTTTCTCAGCTTGTGTTAATGATGTGCAAGAAACAATATTTTCTGCCACATACTCGTAATTTAAAGCGTTATTTGCTGTATAGAATAAAATGCAAAGAAAGTATAACGTGAAAGTAAGAGTGAATTACAAATTTACCTAAGCTTAAACGGGAATGCAATGAATGAAAGTTGTGTTAGAGTAATTTATTTTACGGTCAAATATATTCATACAGTATATAGTAACCTATATAGTTTTTATTTCATTAAATATTCAGTTATTTGGCTTTTACGTGAAAAGTAAATTCACGTAAAAGCCAAATAACAGAATTTTTAACGATACATGTGTAATTTATTTGCTGCATTAGAACGTACAACGAAAGGCAAATTAATAAATGGATTATCTATACAAGTTACGGAATACTTATTGTTACAACCCGTTGTTCTAACATGTAACGTTACTTAAAATCCTAAACTGCAATAAAGTGAGGTAATAAAATGGTTAAATGCTGAGATAATTATATCGTAAATTACAAAAATTCTAATATAATCGACACAATGAACCACAGTTACTTCAACACTATGTTAAAATTTTACATTCGTTTGGAATGTCACGTACATAGAGTAAAAGAAATAAAAAAAAATATTTTTAAGATTTCGACGCGCCAAAAATAACTGAAAGGTTTGCAACTCTATTTCAATACGTAAGAACTTTAATTCGAATGAAAGTAATAAAATAACGGCGGGAAGATGTGTGTTCGTAGGTTATGTGCGAGCGTAGCAGTAGCTACGAACGTAGATGCTACTTTGTACTACGCGCTATTAAAACTTTTACTATGTAGAGTTGAAAAAACGTATTAAACCATATTAACACTGCTTAACATGAGTATACTGGCCTGGTAGGATATCTCGCGAAACACTCAACCTGACACGCACAGAACCCAGAACGTTACGTAAGCGTTAATCTGCAGCACTGTGTACGTTGGTGAGAAGTGGAGCAGGGGTGGGACCTTGGGGCGGGCGTTAGCGGATGCGAGCGCGTGCCGGGGCGCGTCGAGCGGAGCGCGAGCACGTCAAGTCGCGCTGGCCGGAGATGGCCCGGGCGGGATCGATGCGGGCGGCGGGCGGCTGCGGAGTGCTGCACCCGGAGGCTGCGCCGGCCACCCCGCGCCCCCCGTCACGTCGCCAGCGCCGCCGCGCACGCGCCCCGCCGCGCCGTCGCCCGCCCGTCGCCGTCCGTCGCCGCGACGTTTCAATTCCCTCTCTGCCCGTACTGATTTACGATACGCTCCCGTTTATTCTTCGCCCCGGTTTTTTATCTCCGCATGCCACATGCACGGCGATATTACTTATTCAATTGAATCATATTCTTCGGATACTTGATGATGAATCACTAGCAAATTAGCATTATATTTTTATGCGATGAAATAAAAAAATTAAAACTCGAAAATTTCAGTTATTGACTCAATTTGTAATAAGTAACATACGAATTTAATCCTTTTTACTTACAGCAAAGAATACAAGTATTCAAGTAAATACTGGTAGGACGTAAACAAGGCTGCTGCTAGATCTCATTTGCTGCAACTGACTATTGGTATAGTAAGTTGGGTCTTTTTGGCTGGTTACATTATGATTTAAAGTGACACAAACGTATAATGTACATTATGGAAAAATTTCATCAATAAGGTAACCGTTAACATCAAATACAGATAGTTTTCTGATATCTGGAATCTGGATAATGGATATTTAAGCAATATAAACACATAATGCATTACTTACATCAAACATATTTTGTTTGACCCAGTTGATGCATCTAATCTTATCTACTTCTCTTTATAAATTACTTTTTTAAACGTTCCCCTTATGGAGTTTTGCCAACATTGTATATCTGCCCTAAATAAGGATCTGTTTCGGCTATTGTTCTTTCGTAGTTTTCCCGTGTTAGTCAATTCAGTCGGGTAAAGTGTCGCCTTCACACATTAATCATTCGGATCACTGGGACGCATTAGAATAACGTAGTACTTTGAATGAACTAGCGATCAAGCTAGATAATGTCGCCAAGGCGATATAAGCTCCATAATATCCTTCTTTGTCATCAGCCAAAAAAGGACTTTGGCCACTCCCCTTGCCTTGCCCGTTTGGCCATTCAACCAGTCTCTACTCTGGGTATTTGAAGTCTGAGGTAAGCGAACAAAATTAAATATACAATTATATATATATATATATATATATATATATTTTAGATTTCTTTATTAGAACTGAAAGTAAGAGGAATTTGATAAGGTCAGCAAAATGGCAAATTAATATTAAGTATAAAATTTTTTTTAAGGTTTTTTTAATTTACAAACGGAGTGAAAGTCCACTTGGTGGCATCTGGTAATGCAAACCACAAATATTTAGATTATATCCAATATATCATGTAGTTCTACTGTCTCGCTTCCCTTTTAAAATGGATTATTATCAATGTGTTATGTTCAATGGACATTTTTAAAAGCTCTAAAATAGTCATTTGCACGAGTATGAACGACTAGCGTCTCCTTACAGCAACGATAATTTAGATTCAATTATAATTTATAAAATTTTCTTTAAGTAACCAAATATTTTCAATTATTGTTAAACGTATATAATAGCTGTGTGTTGTATTAACAACAATAGTTAAAAACTAATTGAATAATTTCCAATCCCTCGCCCTTCACCTTTACCTTTGCCTGTTCTAAATACAATATATCTCACTCAAAAGGAGACGGTCCAAAACTGTATGAAGCGTAGGACCAGTTTTGTACTAGTAGGAAAATAAATTAAAATTAAATATTAAACCACTTTTGATCATTCAAATTCACGAGTTTCCCTTAATTTTAGTGGTATTAATATTTTATTCTCACCAAAAAAATCAACACTGATAGGGGATGGATGTCATTTTGGCGTTAGCTGTCAACTGGTATGAGGTTATTTATCGATTTATTGATGACTATTTAAGTTGTGTGTGAATGCAGTGTTATACTTATCATTTAACCAAAACCAAATCGCCGAAGAAATCGACCAATAACACAATAAACACATTCACGAGTTCACAACTACACGACCTAGCTCGGAGTAAATAAAAACAACACTCTACATTATTATTATTTAATGACTCAGGTCAATTGCCAGAAATGACATTTGAGAAATAACCGCTTCTTTTTTTATGACTGGAAGGGCGCCATCTTGTAAAACCATCAAAACTAGGGATTGCATTTTTATTTTTATCAAGTTGTTTAGTTTGATTTATTCTATTATTTTGTTTTTAATAAAATCCCTGAATGTTTCGCTGTTTTATGGTATAGTGCACACACAGTTAACCTGAAATGGACCAACTCCTTTAAGTTGTCGTAAGGGGCGACAGAAGGAAACTGTAGCAGCAGATGGGCATCTTTCAACTTCCTGATAAAAACGCAATAATAATTTAAAAAAATCGGTTGCAAACCCACCGCTCCAGCGTGGCAACTATGACCCATATAATAAAGGCTTAGCAGTGGACTTTTGACGAGCTATATATTTTAATATAAAAACCAAATGCTCTCCGTTAGTCTTGCTACAACTAAACGTGTCGTAACTCAATAACGAATTGACCGATTATGTTAAAATTTGTTGTGTGTGATTGATTGAATGGGCCCCTGGATGATTCAGATTATCAATTGCACCCGTTAGGTTGAGCTGTTCACCAGATACAGAAATCACCAGTGCGAAGCCGGGGCGGAACACTAATGAATGAATAAAATAAGTGAAATAAATATATCACATATTATATAAATACAGTTTAAGTGAAAATGCTGTACAAAATACTTAACAACCTGCTTTTACTATGAAGGAATAAAATTTATCTATATCTGTTTTATAAAACTTGAGCCCAAGCAATGCATAAAGCTGTATCCAGCATACATTTTAATTCAGTTCCGGGGAATTTCCACAACGTAACAAATCTAGTAGAATTTCTAATCTTTTTAGTAATATCTTAAAAATATTTTACCAATAGTAGTTATAGTTTTCATTAATTTTAGTTGGGTTATAAAAAAGTAAAACGCATTTTTCTTGAATGTTTTAAGTCGAGGTGAAGACCTAAAGAAAATATTATAAGATTTTAGAAGCACAAAATGGTACTTTAAAAAAAACAATAAGCATTTACGATCAAAATGACTTAACTGCCTTTGTAACAAGGGTCGCTTTGTGTGAAATTGACATTAAGATGTCAATTTCAAACAGTTCAGCACAATGTAAAGCGATGCTGGCTCTGATCGTTTTTTCACGAGCCTTTTAATGATAACAATTTTACTCATTTGCAAGGTTTGATTTATATGGTTTAAATAAAATGTTTGATTTCAAAAAATAATATACTGTTTTGAAGGCTCAGTAGCACAGCGGCTAAAATTTATTAGCTACATTGCTACATTTCGAATCCTGAAACCCCGGAATCCCTTTTTAGCCTGGAATTTGCCCATACGGTATTTAAGTAAGTAAAATACCTAGAAAAATTCTTAATGTGGGGTGTTTATATTATTTACGTTTACATTGTATTATAATGTAAACGTAACGTATATAGACATAATGTAGACGTATGGTTACTACAGCCCGGGAAACAAACCAAGGGATAGGCGGGAGTCTTACGAAAAGCAACTAAAAAATTAAAAACAATAGAAGTCAAATCGCCTCTCAAGCGTTACAAAAATCTCTTTAGGAATCAATCAACGGAGAGAGGTATGATCACCAGTAGATTGTCTATGGGACACAGCATCCACTTATCATCAGGTCGACTGTGTGCTCGTTTGACACCCTAAAGAAGTGGACTCTTGATAGGCTGTAATTAATGAATATATGAATATGTTAGATGTTACAAAACTAAGTAAGTAAAAAAGACCAGCGTCTAAAGTACGATATTATCTGGCACTGTGATCGCTCATTCACTGTCCAAGTTTAGCAATTTTGGAAAATCCTCTAGACAATGGAAAATGTCTATATCCAACAGTTGACTGTCATGAGCTAAAAAGAAGAAGCTTACATATCATTTAACCCATTCACTATCCAATATATTATTCTTTAAAATACAGACAAGATACTGCATAATGCAATGGAACTAAGGTTGGCGATTTCTTTTCAGATTCTGTTTCTTTCAATCAATAAATGCCATATTAAGACAATAAGAGATTTTACTTTGTTGACCGAAACAAATAAAAAAACGTTACAAATATATTATAAATTTAATTTTTTTGTATTAATCAAAATCTACATGATTATTGTTAATAATGTATTTACCAATTCACGGGACGTTACTTGCCCAGCGGAACATCGCTAAATGGAGCGTTAACGCTGACCGGTATATTCGCAAAGTGTTAAGCAACACATTTATTCAAAAATGTAAATAATATGTGTAAAGAAAGCAATCACCTTTATAATTTTTAGAACATGAAATAGCAACATTTCACCGCTGTATATAGACATAACTAAAGTTAAAAAAAATACCATATTATGTCAACTTAAGCAACGCAGCTCACCTGATGGTAAGTGGATGTTATGGCTCACAGACATCGACGCTATCTATCCTTGACTAACATTTTTTCATTTATCATTATAGAACAAGGGTGACGAACGTGTACATAGTTAACCTGGTGATAATAGGATATTGGGCCCATTAACATTTTCTTTCCTTGATTAAGAATAAAAATTAAAAAAATCCTGGGGCCTAAGATTGAATTACTGAATTTAAAAAATTATTTAACATAACACTACATTTTCATTTAACTTATATTGTTACAAGTCATAAAATAAAATATTATACACAAAATTTATTTTAAGATACATATTCAAAATTTCTGTAATGAACGTCAAATAGCGCGGCAAAAGTGTCGCATAGTCAGAATTTCTAAAGCTCAACATGTATCTTATACTGATATGTATTTACATAGGGCACGGAGCAAGGTCCGTTGTCATTTTTTGCTACAGCCTAGGGAAATTATGAGTACAGTAGAAGCTTGCGGTGAATTCATCTCTTCTCCGTGGCTTTTAATTTAATTTCATTGACGGTGTTTAAATTCCAACGAAAACATTCAAAGTAAAAATTGTAATTAGAAAAAATTTGACGCAGTTACGCAAAAAATATTTTAATTTTTATAGGTATATCTCCAATTTTGACTACAGTATTTTGTGTTGATACCTTTAACGTGACGACGTCTAATTAAAGAATAATTTATAAACATATTCAAACTATTATATTATATTTTGTTTTTCAATCGATCCTGCCCTACTCACACATATTTTCTACAAATTTTATAATGGTGCTTGTATTAAAATTATAATGGATGTTCGTCTTGATTTTTAATTACAAAGAGTACCTATTTACTGGAAAAAATATT